CCAGCAGAGCCGGGTACGCGTACCATGGTGAACGGGGCGCGCTCCACACCGCCGTCCTGCTCGCGCTGGGTGGGTATGTCGGGTAAGGATTCTGGGGCCTCACGGGCACATTGGCAGCCATGTTCATGAGCTGGGCGGTTCGCAGTGGGAACAATAATTCTTGGGCGTGCATGGACGACCCCTGGGAGATGGAGCTGGGATCCGCCAAACGTGCCGGCGGGCTCGATTGGACGAGTGGCGCAAGCCCAGAGGACGCCTATGCAACCGCGAGTGGTCGCTTTTGTTGGTGGGGGACTGCCACTTGCATTTTTCGGCGATGGGCGGGGTCCGAGTCCACGCTGGATTTAACGATCTGGCAGTCGATATGGTCCTGATTTGGGCTCGGACAAAAGCAGCGGTGATGTTAACAATTCCATAGCCGCCCAAAGTTGTACAGCACGTGTTGTACCGGGGGGGGACTCTTGCACAGGAGTGCCGCGCGCCAGCATGGGTTTACACGACGCCTGGGAGAAGCTGGGCAAACTTCCAAAGCACTTTCAACTTGCTGGGACCACACTGGTATCAGCAAGCACCAGAAACGACGCCTCTTTGACGCCTTTCTGACCCCGAAGCTTCTGCAAAACCTGAAACACATTCTCACTATTACAAGCAGGCAGCCAGATATTGAACAGTTGTCGGACGTGCCTTCGCAAAATCTCGAACATCTAACACGCTTTCCACTCCCGTGATTCAAACGCAGAGGTTCCGTCGTAAACTACATCAAGCAAGTATTCTCAGTGGGGCTCTTCCTCGAGAGACAAATGCAAACTAACGTCTCCTGTTCAAACATGCCAGAAAACAGCCTTCTCAAGCTCTTGAATGCTAGCCGGGTGGGGCCGTCCTCGGGCAATATAATTTTGCGCGACAGCGGGGCCGCCCGAAGTTGCCAAGAGCAAAGTGCGTTCACACGCTACTTAAAAAGGGCATGATGCATTGCAGTACCGTTTCGTTCCCTTTCATTTCATTTCATTTCATTTCATTTCATTTCATTTCATTTCATATCATTTCATTACATTTCATTTCATTACATATGATTTCATTTCAATTCACTTCACTTTATTTCATTTCATTCCATTCCAGCCCATTTTATTTGATTCCATTGCATGTCATTTCATTTCATGCGCAACGACAGCGTTGGGCCGGCCGCGCGCGCTGGGCGCACGCCCGGGCCCTCGGCCCCCGCAGCGCAGGCGACCTACCCCTCCGCGGGGGGGGAGATGGGGAGCGGCAGGCGCGCCCGCGCGGGCCGCCTCCCGTTTGGTGGTGGTCTTCCACTCCCCTCGCGAAGGCGGCCCGAGGGCATCATCGCCATGGCGAATCAGGGCAGGCAAATTCACCGTTATCTGGGCAAGTCAGGGCAAGTCGTGGCAAACAAAGTCGCCATCATCGTCGTCGACGCCCTCTCCCCGCGCACAAAGCCGCATGGCATCGTGGCGGACAGCGGGCATGGCGACACATGCAAGCAGCTGGACAAGTAGTCGGTCATCGGGGCAGGTCGTTGCTAGCACTGCTGGCCCCCGCGCCCTCTCCCCACACACCTTGCCGCAAGACGCAGTGGCGGACTGCGGGCGCCGCGCCGCGCGTGCAAAAGGGGTGGCACGGGAACAAAGCGACCGGGCCCCCTCACGACCACGAGAACATCGGGGGCCGCATCGCCACTGGGAGGCAGGTCGGTGTCGCGCCAGGGGGAGCCACATCACCACTGTGAGACAGGACGGCGGCACACAACGACACCGACGACGCGGTCATCCGAGTTTTTTTTCTCCCAACCATCCTGTGGTGTTGGGTCCTCGTTTTGAAGAGACAGCGCCCCGCGTCCCACCTCCTCCTCCTCCTCCTCCTCCTCCTCCTCCTCCTCCTCCTCCTCCTCCTCCTCCTCCTCCTCCTTCCTCCCCCTCCTTGCCCTTGCTCTCCGCATGTTTCTGTTTCGGCTCACCCCTCACACGTTTCGTGGCCCCATAAAAGGGGTTCCACCTAAGGTCCCACCGGCGCAGCCCGCATGGCGGCGCCACCCCATTTTGACACACCCCTCACACGCTTCGTGGCCCCACAGGGAGCTCCACCTGGAGTCCCAGTGGCGCAGCCCGCATGGCGGCGCCGCCCGGTTTTGGTACACCCCTCACACGTTTTGTGGCCCCACAGGGAGCTCCATCTTAGGTCCCAGTGGCGCAGCCCGCATGGCGGCGCCGCTCCATTCTGGCACACCCCTCACACGCTTCGTGGCCCCATAGGGAGCTCCACCTGAAGTCCCAGTGGCGCGGCCCGCATGGCGGCGCCGCCCCATTCTGGCACACCCCTCACACGTTCCGTGGCCCCATAGGGAGCCCTATCTAGGGTCCCAGTGGCGCAGCCCGCATGGCGTC